TCGAGCATGAAACTGAAAGTAGATAATTTAGGTCTTCGTCCTTTTTCGTATTCGCATTTCTACTCAGGTTCCGACAATTATGTCGGAAACGCCGATGTCGGCAGTTGGCACAAAAATGAAAGTGCCGACAAAGCCGACGGGAGAAAAAGGGGACGCTGGCAGTCGGCCAGGTCTCGTACTACGCACAATGACTGATACTGGTGGGCCTAGCGATAGCATCGGCTGGCTTGCGGGTCGGGTTGCGATTGTCGGATTTCAGACGATTGTCGGCAAACATGCAGGTCTATATAAAGCAAAATTTTACAGGAGCAATAAAAAAACCTGTTACATTCTTGAAACAACTGTTCTACATTGTCAGGATTCCCACTCATCCAGGCAATAATTCCTCTTTTTTGCTATGATTTCTCCTGGATTTTGTAACCATTTTCAAAGTAATTTTTTTTTTTTAATGGCAGAGCTAGAAAGAAGAAATGAAGAGAAATGCAAGGTAAAAAATCATAGTGCAGACCTGCCACTCTATGAAATCTAAAAAATCGGGACTTTAGAGTAAAAAAATCAGGATCTGGTGAAAAAAATCGGGATCAACGGCAAACCAGTCATAAGGGACACTGGGGGGGTGTCCTGGTTCCCCTTTATGAGGCGAGTATGTAAGAGAAAACTTTGGCAGGAATAAGTTCACGTCTGGGACTCTATATAGAGGGAAAACTGAAAGACAGCAAGTACTTGAGTCAGATCTCCAGTTGGATAGACTGGGGAAGCGCAGGTTGCAGTAAAGCTGAAACTTTCGTAGTCTTGAAAATAGCTAGCCCACGTTTTCAAACAACGTACCTTATATCTGTTCATGACACAACACACACAGTCTTATATCTGTTCACAACACAACACACAGTCTTATATCTGTTCACAACACACACAGTCTTATATCTGTTCACAACACACACAGTGTTATATCTGTTCATGACACAACACACACAGTCTTATATCTGTTCATGACACAACACACACAGTCTTATATCTGTTCATGACACAACACACACAGTCTTATATCTGTTCATGACACAACACACAGTCTTATATCTGTTCATGACACAACACACAGTCTTACCTCTGTTCATGACCATGCTATGGACCGGCGTCTGTAAAGTCTCAGAGTGACAGCTCTTCACGTCTGCCTTGAAATCAATCAGTAGCTTCATGATCCCCAGAGAATTTCGCCTGTGATCAGTACCACATACAAACAATTACATTAGCTTTTGAAAAGTTAGTGGGGAGATTCACTTCTTTAAGGGCTAGAGCGTGTGGGTTTCCTCCGAAAGTATCAACTTCCTTATAGTTTTTAAACGACATTTCCACACTTGTGTCTGGTGCATCTGTTCCGAGGTATAGTTTGTGTTAACCCTAACTCTGGCAAGGGCCGATTAGATCAGCCCATTTCCTGCCATGAAACTGGCAGGGCCGATCTCATAGGACCATATAGTAAACTGCTACTTTTGCCTTCCAACTAAATATTTGGGGCTTCCTAAAGGGATTTCTGATTGGCTAAAAGGCTAACCTCCAACCAATCAGAATATTTCTACCATTCTGGCTTAAGAGAAGAGTATTTTGCTGTCAAAACAGGGATGTTTTGAAAGCTTGTTGATCAGGTCACAAGCCACTAATGCTAGTGTAGATCTATCACTTGTGCTACTCATGTGGGTCTAAAATGGCCAAAAATCAATCTTTTTTGGGATACATTTGAAAGTGAATTGACTAGGGAAAGTAATTCAGACACTGTTAGTGGTGGATTTATTGGTGTTCAGTCAAGAATTGGGATTAGATCTGACAGACAATGGGGATACCAGTTCTCATCCTGCCCCAACTTCTCTTTCAAATGGAACACTAGATTCTACAATGTAAATTTTTTATGTCAGCCATCTTGGATTTCAAAATTACATAACCCCTTGAAAATTAAATCAAATCATATGTTCAAAGTCTAAATATAAAAGTTCATTCAATTATCTTTCAGAAAATATTTACTTTTGTAGGGTTTTTATTTGATACAAGTCCATAAATTTGATTTGTAAAGCACGTGCACGTTTTAGCTGATTAGCCCTGCCATTCCTGTTGAAACCACTTGCCAAAGTTAGGGTTAAGAAAAACACATCAACACAATAGTGGCCATTTAGAGCCAGGAAAAACAAGACGAAAGGACAGCGTGACGGCTGCATATGGCCTCACATTAGAAAAAGATTAATACTTGTAAGAAGACGAAAACACACGACCTCTTTCTTGCCTGCCTGCGAACTGATTTTATTGCTGTTTCTTATATACTGGAATCTCGCGTGAATTCAAAACGAGACAATGTGTGACGTATCAAGAAGGCGAAATAATGATATTAAAGAATCGTTACTTCAACATTCACAAAATAGATCTAGTTCATTCCCATTTCATAACATCAGTCATACATTACAGACAGAAACATCAGAGTGAAAGAAAAGTGGTCGGTAACCTGCTAGTGGCACCCTCCAACCACCCACCATCTCATCTGAATTCCCGTAATATCTCTCTGAACTGCACTGTTGGAAACGTTTACAACTTGGTCACACACCAATCATTTAGTTCAGTGATGGACGACACTTACTGTGACTTGGTCACACACCAATCATTTAGTTCAGTGTTGGACGACACTTACTGTGACTTGGTCACACACCAGTCATTTAGTTCAGTGATGGACGACACTTAGACTTGGTCACACACCAATCATTTAGTTCAGTGATGGACGACACTTACTGTGACTTGGTCACACACCAGTCATTTAGTTCAGTGATGGACGACACTTACTGTGACTTGGTCACACACCGGTCATTTAGTTCAGTGATGGACGACACTTAGACTTGGTCACACACCAATCATTTAGTTCAGTGATGGACGACACTTACTGTGCAGCTAGGAGCAGCACCGACACCTGGGCCTGTCCAATCGCCATGGCAACGTTGGGGTCAGCACCTGCCTCCAGCTGGGAAAGAGCAGATAGTTTAGTTGTCAGAGTGAAGAGAATCACATCGTGACACTATAACCATGTTTCATGATTGTCTGCTCATTTGTTTGAGTACAGAGAAGTGCATTGTCTGCTCATTTGTTTGAGTAGAGAAGTGCATTGTTTGTTCGTGTGTTTGTTTGAGTACAGAAAAGTGCATTGTTTGTTCGTGTGTTTGTTTGAGTACAGAAAAGTGCATTGTTTGTTTGTGTGTTTGTTTGAGCAAAGAGAAGTGCATTGTTTGTTCGTGTGTTTGTTTGAGTAAAGCGAAGTGCATTGACACAATAACTCTGCATTTATAGGATCTAATCGTGTTACAAGTGCCGTAAACCTCTTACTAAACTGACTCAATAACCCATCATTTACTACAGGGACAAAATAAGCCAGTCAGAAACAACAGGAGGAAAGAAAAGAACTACGACCAACAAGCAGTGTCCTCCAACTGGCCACACAGTTACGCCAAGGGAGGACACATGACAGCGAAAGAAGTAGAACGACCAGTGGTACCCCCTCTCCAACCACCTGCTCGAGTCCAGAACAAAACAGCCTCAACATTTGAGCAAAGAGAAGAACACTGACATTTCTACTTACTCTTTACTTTTGCCAGTTTTAGTTGAGGTTTTTCGGCGCTTGCGACTGCATAACGTCATGAGCGCCAGAAGATAACAGGTGTTACAAGACAGTAACAAACATAAAAAAGAAGAAGGGGAGATAAGGACGATCAATGTTTGATAGGAAATAAGGAGCCAGTTTTTGCTAGCCTTCGTTATCTTCCGGTGCAAGGGAAGAAGCAAGCAACAGGG